TCATTTTAAAATATAAAAAATCTAAGATATAATTAGAATAATTATCGAGTTCCAACAAAATAAATAATTATTATCTTTATAAAAAAATTATATTATTAAACCAAATATAAATTACTTCGTTATTGTACATAATTTAGATTATAAAAAAATTGAATTAAAAAATTACACAAAAAATGAGGAATTTCAAATAGTTAATTTGATACTAATATCGATATATTTTTGTCAAATTTTTATGATATTTTCAAACATATATTTTATTCAAAAATAAAAACATTATCGCTTTCTCAAAATCAAATAAAGCCATATTATAACATCAGCTGAGATAAAAATAAAATAAAAAAATTAAAATCAAGATATATCTCGTTGTATTGTGCGATTACGCTTCTAATATATATAGAGATTGTAACCCTTGTACTCCATTTTAATTTAATCTTTGCCCTTGATCTTACCAAAATTTAAGAAATTTATTTTTAATTAATTATTCAAAAAGGGCAATTATATCTTTTTTCTTTTTTAATTAAAGAAATAATACATACTATTTTCGTAGACGGTTTTAATAATTTGAATTTATTATTGTGTTTAAATTTGGAATTGATTTTTATATTTATCTTAAACCTTTTTTTATCTACATCGTCAAATTCATTGTTTTTGTTATATCATATAAGCTTTTTGTTGAATAATTTGATGGTAGAACCATATCACATATTATCACATAGAAATGCAGCTGATTGACACTGAATTGGATGGTGAAACCATATCACAAGTCGTTCAGACAAAGGCGACCAATTGATGCTGATCTCGAATGTAACTTTGATTTTTATGTAATTTGTATAAACATTTTCTAGAATTTTGTTTTTTGAAAACTAAATATATTGACAATAATTAAAAATAATAATACAAAAATATTTGATATGGTTAATAATAATTCTAAATAATTAATATTTATTAAAATTAATTATATTTTATTGATAATTAGAATTTATTAACAATTATCTATATATATATATATTAAAAAAGAAACCGAACATAATGAGATGACACATTCTAATGCTTAGAAATTTTTTCTCAATATTTTGATTTTTTTTAAATGTTGAATATATTAAAAACTTTTCTACCCTATATGAAAAATGTATAGTTCATAATTAGTTGAGATTTTTTGTAATTTTGTATACCCAAGTTTAACCTCCAACTCTTGATTTGCTCTTTCATTTACTTTCTTTTATTTCTTCATGAAATTTGTTTTTAAAAATTTCAATTATTTATTTATAATTAATATTAATAAATAATAATTAAATTAATGAACGTTATCATTAAAAATATGATAATAACATCTCAAATATTACTTGAAATAATATTTTAATAAAATAATTTATGTATACACAAACTTATATTAAAAATAACTTAACTTACGTGTGGCAAACTAGAATTTTTGTAATATTCAAGAAAAAAAAATAGTATCTATGATTATTTAATTGTTGTTTTTGTTTTTGATTTTAATCCCATATCAAATGAATCTTTCCATAAATGGTTGAAGTTGATGATTTCAAGAAAATAGGGTTTTTGCTTCTCTCTCTCTCGCAATGCAATGAGCTTCTGATTTCAATTTCATGTCTCAACCCAACACGAGTACCTCCAACACCCACATCAACAACGCCCGCAGGCGCTCCTCTGCCACCTCTACATCTCCACAACCCACCACCTCTACCGGCGGAGGAGGGGGGATTCACTTCCCCGCGATGAAGAAGCCGAGGTCCCAGTCTGTCGCTTGCTCTGTTGACAACAAAAATGGCTTCCAACAACAACACTTCAATAATAATTCTTCGGTTAACCCTTCTTCCATGTTCGAGGATCCCACCGGAAATGAAGTTATTGATCCCATCGCTACCTCTGTTGCCGGATTCACCGCCAATTTGTCTCGTAAAAAGGCAACGCCTCCTCAACCTGCTAAGAAGCTTGTCATCAAGCTAGTCAAAGGTCCTTAATTTCATCTCTACCCGACTCACTTCAATTTCGGATGTTTTGCTATATCTAATTTCTTAGAAGAAGTCTTGAATTTACTCCAATTTTTGTTTTACACCGAATTAAATTCATAGTGATTTGATGTATTTATGTTTCTTCTGGCTCAGACTACGTGAGGTTTAAGATGCGACTGAGTTGCTAGTTGCTTTCATCAATTTTGTGGGTTCTTACTTATCCTCATGTTGGGAATTTATCTGTTGCCTTATAATTCTAGAAATTTAGGTAGCTGTTCATCTTGCCCAAAGTGATATGCATTTTTGTTTCCTGTAGAATTCAAAATTTATTTATCCATTGTAATTGTAGTGTTGATTCTTCCATCTCCTTTTTAATCTCTAAAGTGATTCTTTTTTAAGTAGCCGAATTAAATTAGATAAAAGGCTTGTAGTTTCCCCTTATTTCAAATGCTCTAGATATATGGCTTGGAAGAGATACCTGTATATAACACAGACAATATTCAATGACACACTTTCCAGGGAAACGACAATTTGAAGATCCTTGCTTTGTCACTAATATTTGAACGGGTGTTGCTCTTGTGAATTTAATGATTAATTGCTCGTTCTTCTTTCTCATTCATATATCTACATATGAAATTATGAACTATATATGAAATTATGAACTATGTATGCCAATGGATTAGATGGTTTGGGCCTTTTTAAGACTTACTTGTGGAAGCAGCCCCAAGTTCGAATCTCATAGAGCACTTTTTTAGTCCTTTTTCCTATCTTTTTTTTATATATTATTATTGGTTTTCATTTATTAAATTCTTTTGTTTTTAAAAAAAATTAATAAGTATGCATGTTTTAGTACCATTTACATTGTAAATATTTTACGTTTATATCGTCTCCCGAGTTATGAAATTTGTTTTTCGCCCATATATGTAATACATAATACAAATATTATATTGACGTCATTTATGTAATATTTATAAATCAGTAAAAGTAATGGTTCACTTGATGATAAAATATGTTTCGTGCTCCAATTTATAACACTACAATATATATATGATATATATATATATATATATATATCTGCTAACAATTCACAAACAACAGTCACGATATTCATGATTTTGTTTCTTTTCTATCTACAATCTCTCAAAATTCTTAATGATCCACTCACTGCAACTCAAAATTCCTCTCAAAGGATTGACCTGAAAGTCAATCCTTAGAATGCATCCATGCATACAAGTAGGCTGTCTTTACTAAGTTCATATGCAAAAGCATGCATTTATAGGTTGTGAAATATGAATTCCCTTTAGTGTATGTGGGTTTTCTACTGATTGTTGATTCTCATCCTCGTTTAATTTTCAATTATGTAGATGAAAAGGTCAAAGAGTGTTTATGTGGTAAACATAATCTTATTTTATATGGCATTTAGTCTATCTGTCCCATCTTTTATATAGATAGGAATTTGGTTGGCACTGAAATGAAGTAGCAAAGAATGGAATGAGGAAGGTAGAGAACCCTCTTACTCTAAAGAGATATTCCACCTGGTGTCGTGTCATATGCCAAACCCAGCTAGTGTTGTTTTGATTTGTTACTGTTCTTCCATGTAGATGTTATAGATTCTTACAGCCGTGTCAATGCTTGAAAGCCAACGGCACTTGGTAATTGAAGTTTTTCTGCATGTTTCAGTGAGATCCTGTAAGAAACTCCATCCTGATTGAGTGGCCGAATCTCTTTCCTATTTCTCAAGTAATTCATCCACTTTGTAATATATAATGTTGAAGTTTTCCTTGTAATCCACCAGCGAAGGACATTTATACATATTACTACCTTAGTAAAGCTGTTTCCTATCAGCGTATCATCTTTCTGTTTTATGCCTAGCAAGTCTTTTTCTTTGGGGACTTCGAGATAGGGACCCAACTCAACCATAGGAGAGGACTGAAAGAGGCCCTCTTTTCTGGATAAAGTGAAATGTCCGGGCCTAAACATCCTGTACAAGCTCTTCGGCATTGCGGTTTATTTATTTTATTCCTGCAACAAAGATGCAAGAGTTCAACTGTAGTCCCATTGGCCTAACTAGTGCTCAAGACACTAAAAAGTTAGCATGTCTACTGCTTGATGCTACCTGCCATTTCCTTTTTGGCTTACTTCGTAAAACTCAATCTTAAGATGGTTCTTAAACACTTCACTCAATAGTCTGATACCTTTCCACTCTTTACGTATTATTTCATGCTGGCACATTATATAAAAGATGTCATAGGTGGTTCGTTAGTTGTAACCATATACTATCTTATTCTTTCAAATAGATTAAGCAAAGGTTAAATGTTCTATTTTCTTGTTCGATAATTTATGGACACATGTCATATTGTTTGTTAAAATGCTCATTTTTCTTTCTGGTATTTTCTCTTTGAAGCCAAGCCAACCTTGCCAAAAAACTTTGAGGAGAATACATGGGCAATTTTGAAGTCAGCCATTAGTGCCATATTTCTGAAGCAGCCAGATCCCTGCGATTTGGAGAAACTTTATCAAGTGAGTTCTACTACATGATCCTTTACGACTTTCTGGTATGCATTTTACTACCAGTTGACTGAATTCTTATCATCATTAGGCCGTCAATGATCTTTGCCTGCATAAGCTGGGGGCAAGTCTTTACCAACGGATTGAAAGAGAGTGTGAAGCTCACGTATCTGCTGTTTTACAATCTTTAGCTGGGCAAAGTGAAGATCTTGTGGTTTTCTTATCGCTTGTTGAGAAAACCTGGCAAGATTTTTGCGACCAGATGTTGATGATCCGCGGTATAGCGTTGTATCTTGACCGCACATTCGTGAAACAAACTCAAAATGTGCGATCGTTATGGGACATGGGCCTGCAACTTTTTCGGAAGCATTTGTCACTAGCTTCAGAAGTTGAGCACAAAACAGTATTTGCCCTTTTGAAAATGATAGAGAGTGAGAGGTAGTTACCACCTTTTTGGACTAAATATTGTAAATACTGGAGTACTAAATAAGTTGATTTGTTTATTTTAACTTCCACAAGAAAGATAACTCCTTTCTTACTGGTGCAGACTTCTGACAAATACTTGCTGTTTTGATTTTTAACTGTTTTAACTTCAAAGCAAAATCTTTCAGATGTTTTGTTTCGTAGAGATATGTAATGTAGCATTCTGTGCATAATACTATGCTCTTCTTACCTGGTATCTCATCTTGGACTTTGGCCCATGGTGGAATACAATGTGTCTATGACTTTGTTTGCCTCTGGTTGTGAGGTTTTTTGGGCCTTAACTTTTCAGGTACGTGAGCTTTAAGATGTGCATGTGTATTTGTGATGTTAACTGTTTAGAAAAACACAAAGAGATGAAAGAAAAAACCAATATCAGAGTCTGTTTCAGTTTGTTTTTGTGCTTGAAATGAGATTGATATTTAGAGTCTAAGCTTCACTGCACCCTCTGCCTAAGTATAACCTAAATAGGAGAAAAAGATAACTAAATATTAACAATCATGATATTAATTATAACTAATAGTCTCTACCATGTTTTTCATTTGCCAGGCTTGGTGAATCAATAGACAGGACACTTCTTAACCATCTTTTGAAGATGTTCACCGCATTGGGGATTTACTCTGAGAGTTTTGAGAAGCCATTCCTCGAATGTACTTCAGAGTTTTATGCTGCTGAGGGAGTAAAATACATGCAACAATCAGATGTTCCAGATTATTTAAAACACGTGGAGGTGTGCGGTTTCTTTCTGCTTTCCTCCTTATAAACTGATTTTTGGTATAGGTCAAAATCTGATAAACCCCATGACGGCACCACTTGTACATGAATGAGGAAAATATCATATCTCTTAAACTGGATTATGTTCACATGAGAGATCAGTTTCTTTTGACAAACCTACTGATTTAGCTAATATTCTGGTGTCCTAAAGTTGCTGTTATTTGTGTGATTCCATCATTGCAGGTAAGATTGCATGAAGAACATGACAGATGTGTAATCTATCTAGATGCTATCACAAGAAAGCCATTGGTAGCCACTGCTGAAAAGCAGCTTCTTGTGCAGCATATTTCTGCAATACTTGACAAGGCATGAAAAAAACTCTCATCTTTTTTATATTCTTCTCATAGCGATCGACTTTCAATAATTTATCATTAAACATTACTTTTCTCATATATGAATCCAGGGTTTCATGATGTTGATGGATGGTAATCGCATTCAAGATCTTCGGAGGATGTATATACTCTTTTGCAGAGTAAATGCCCTTGAATCCTTACGACAGGCCCTTAGCTTATACATCCGGAAAACCGGGCAGGGCATTGTACAGGATGAAGAGAAGGACAAAGATATGGTGTCCTCTCTATTAGAATTCAAGTCCTCTCTTGATAGAATTTGGGAAGATAGCTTTTCGAAGAATGAAGCCTTTTGCAACACAATCAAAGATGCATTTGAGCATCTCATTAATCTACGCCAGGTATCATTATTAGCATAGTTTCTTTTATGCTTTCATTAAAATATGGAAGCTAAACTCTCCATGTCAAGCAAGTCTGTCTTCTTCTGTCTCTATATGTATGTGTGTTCGTTTATATATGCACACATCTCTACATGTATTACATAAAGTTTTAATAGTGAAGTAACATGATTAAGGTATACAGTTGGATAGGGGCTTGATAACTAGTAATGGATTGGCTTTGTTGCTCATTTGCTTCTGTGACAGAATCAAGTTAAAGAAAATATTAATAGAGGTCTGACACCTAAAATACCCCATAATAAGACAAGATTGAGAAAAGTTGTGGAATCAATCCAACTGTTATCTTCCTATGGTTGCTAATGGGAAAATAGGTACATTTGGAAAGGAATCTTTCTAGAAAGGGAAAGTTTGCATTTTTTGGGCAACCCAAAATAGGATGTGTTGCATTTTTTTTGGGACAGAGGGAGTATCTTTTAGATAGGAATCACACCTAGGGTTCATAGGTATGTCACGATATAATAATAGTACTTTCACGAACTTGAATCACCTTTCAGGGGTGTTGAAAATAATACCATTTGGAAGCACTGATATTTGGTCGATGAATCAGATTCGGATGACAGAATGTTGATCCAAGAAATTCTGGGTTGATTGGTCGGTTTTGGTCTATATCTATTTGGTAGAATCAAGATAAATTGAAAATTCCAAGGGAAGCTGAAACCCCTGGAGTCATGTATTACATCTTCAATATATACTCTTGTCTCTCTTATCAATCTGCCACTCTGGTTTGTTGTTTGATATTTATTAATTTAATTATTAGGCCCTTTCTGATTCTGAAATTGACAATATCACTGTCTTCTCTGACAGAACCGCCCTGCAGAGTTGATCGCAAAGTTTGTGGATGAGAAGCTCCGTGCTGGAAATAAGGGTACATCAGAGGAAGAATTGGAGGGCACTCTTGATAAAGTCTTGGTTTTGTTCAGATTTATACAGGTGACACAGAAAATCATATAAGAATTAATAAAAATAAATAAATACTTTTTGTTAGGGTAACCCTATTATCTCATGCTTCATCTTTTCATTTACGTTCCATGATTGCTGTAGGGTAAGGATGTATTTGAAGCATTCTATAAGAAGGATCTTGCGAAAAGGCTACTGTTAGGAAAGAGTGCATCTATTGATGCTGAAAAATCCATGATTTCCAAGGTTCAAGGTCTACATTTACCTTTTGCCAAACAAGTGGTGTATCTGCTGATTGTAGTAATTAGTTTCATTGTTTTGACAGCTGAAAACCGAATGTGGTAGCCAGTTTACCAACAAGCTTGAAGGAATGTTTAAGGTTTGTATTGTATCTCTATCATTCAATATGCCTTCTTTTTTTGAAAAGAAAATGGAGAAGTTGATTATGCTCCAATCTGATTTCCCAATGGATTCATTCATTTGTGGAAGTGAAAGAATTCGATGGTGCTCTTGCTACAAGTGTGGTTGTGCTCCATTTTCTCTCCTTTCAGTTTCTAGAAATTTCTTTTGGGTTCATATTTACCAACCCTACCTACTTTGGAATATACGACTTGTTGGCAATAATTTTTTTCTCTTGTTTGCAATTAAGGTTGTAATGATGTGCTTATCTAATAGAAAAACAGTATCAATATATTATATAGTTAGACAAGGAAACCTAAATAATGGATGTGTTGTATATGTCTATTGTGTTGAACTTGCTGCATATGTATTAAATCAGGGTCTTCTAAAGAATTGGAAAGGATATTTGCAAATTGTACTGACTAATTACTAGTTGGTGCTCTATCCAGATATAAATAAAAGCTTCGTCGAATAAGGCCCGTAGCTTACAACATCTTATGAGAAGGGCCTGTAGCTCGATACAATTTAAGGCCAGTTGCGTAAACCATGAAGCTACCGTTTCCAGTTTGCTTATAAGCATGCCATATTGACCGACGTTGAATACGGGACCAGTTTCAGACTAGACCCCTTCTTTAGATAGGGCCTATTGTTGAAATTAATGGATGATTACTTAGTGTACCCACAATTGGTTTCTCACTAGTTGCCAATAGACCTCTATGTATTCTGTCATTTAATGATGCTAAGTCTTGGTTATATGATGGTAGACTGAATATCACAATATAGTCTCTCAGTTTTTCCTAGGGAGTCCTGACTTATATAACGAACATCTGGTTTCTGTTATATTGTGAGTGAAATCTGTCATGTGACAATATTGTTTGCTTCTTTTTGCTCTTTTCTAAGAAACAAGGGTCCACAATGCATAGTTATTGATAGTAGATCATTAGTGGTAGGACAACTTGCCGAATCTATATTTAAGAACCCACAATCTTTCATTTTCCCTCCTTACACCCGTTCAATAATAATCCTTTTTAGATATAGGGATATGATCTCTCTTCTTGGAGAGGTCTTGAGGTCTCTTCAGATCCAATTAACAATGTTCTAGTGACTAGTATAGGGATGAATTGACCAACAGCACATGTGAAAAGATGTCTGGTCGTGAGGTATATGAGGATAACCACCATTATTCTTGATCATTCTAAGGCTTTCCATCTTCAGATAGGAATTCTCCACACTCACGTAATAGGTTCATGACGTACCTCCTCTTACACATCAATATCTCCTGCTGGGATGTAGGATTTGCACTTCTTAACACCCAAAAATCAAACAAGCTGTGAATGCTTTACCAAACAACTCCATCTCCAGTTGCCTTAACACCCAAAAATCAAACAAGCTGTGAATGCTTTACCAAACAACTCCATCTCCAGTTGCCTTAACACCCAAAAATCAAACAAGCTGTGAATGCTTTACCAAACAACTCCATCTCCAGTTGTTTGATTTGGTGTATGTTGGAAGATGGAACCACGAAAATGGAAGGAAATACCGAAGAAAGATAACCCCACCACTATAAATCACTAGGGTTCAAGGGTAAGTACTACTCTCAAACCCACAATGGATTTGGAAAGAATTTTGAGGAAACTAGAGGAATACTCTGGAGCAGCATTTATATTCTTCAAAATCTGGTGTTTACAACCTAGAGTCTCTTTTATGTAGAGGGACTGCATTAGTACAATTTTTAATACATTATCCATAATAAGACTCTAGAAAAGTTGGATTCAAACAGATCACAATTGCATAGCACTATCTACTGCAGCTTTTGTACTTCTGTCAGCGCCTTGTGTAGAGAGATATGAAAATTGCAGAATTGGTTGTAATTTCCTCCACTATTTCTTCTAGAAGGCCAATTTTCTGAAAGGATACCAGATACATTTGTACATTGTTTTGCATGTTTGGAGCTAGTGCTTTTTTCATCTGCGCATACTGGAAAATAAAAAAACTATGCTGCCCCTCCATTGTCATAACCCAATTGGCCTAAAAGATTAATTAGCATCCCAAAGGATTAATGAACACCTATTGGGGATGTTTAAGTGCTCTTTAATATTTTCCAAATATCCAAATGAACCAGCCAATGCAAAATGCAAATTGAACTCCAAATGAGTTTCCATAGCACGTGATACTCTTGCATCATCCTCTCTGGGTAAATTGGGACTTGTCCTCAAGTCTTCAAGATAAGAATCATCCATGATGAGGAGATCTCGGGTTTAAATTCTTTGGAATACACAACTCACCTTCTTTTTACAAGAATTCATCATGCACAGTATCAGAACTTTTACTACTTGCTGGCCCTACTTGAAGACAAGGGCCAAAATCAGCATCATGCTGGTAAAGCTCCTTGATGAAAGAGAAGCCCAAGACACGAGCTTCAAATACGGACAACATTGAATAAGGCCTAGAGAGTGCATCAACCACAACATTGTTTTTTCCGGACTTGACAAAGGAATAGGCCTGCAAGAATTTGACCCAAGTAAATGGCAATGACTGTTACCCATTTATATACTTCATGCCTCATGGTCGGATTGTAGAATGATTTTCTTAGGCTTTAGGTAGTGTGGCCACTGATCCCATGCCCAAATGATTGCATAGAAATCTGTTTAATAGCGTGTAGTAAGGCTTGAACCGCTTAGCTTTTTACTTGAATATGGCCGTGGGGATTCCATTTGAACAAGAACATCGCCAATTCCAACCCCACTTGCATCACACTCAACTTCAAAAGGGGCTTCAAAATAAGGTAAGGCTATGAGAAAGAACACCTTTTCAAGCAATCCATGATAGGAGTCACACCGGAAACGTCGTCTTCTCGATGCTGTCGGGTTTCATGCGAATCTTATGGTACCCCGATTTCAAGTCCAACTTCGTAAAGATAGGGCTCCCGTCAATTCATCGATGAGTTCTTCGACAATCGGAATTTTGTCAGGAATGGTGGCCTTGTTGAGAGCACGATAGTCTCCGCACATTCGCCAAAAGTTGTCTTTCTTTCCAACTAAAATTACCGGGCTTGAGAAAGCACTTTTACTAGGACGGATCATTCCTAAAGAACGAAGTTTCTTCACCTGCCGTCAATCTCCGCTTTCTGATTATGCGGGTACCGGTATGGACGAACACAAATCGAGGAAGTAGGAAATACTAACGAAATGCCTATGATCATAATTACAAGTAGGGGAAAGGCCCGTTGGATCGTGGAAAACAGCCGCAAATTGATCAAATAGGCGTTGTATATCAACCTGCTGCTCCTTGGATAACATATTGTCCCGTTTATCAGAATCCACAACGTGTAAACCGACCGGTAAATCATTATGAGGCTCTTCTAAGAATAACCAAGTATGAAGGGAAGCTTGTTTTACCTCTGAATCAGATAACCCTTGAATATAAATTGATTTTCCACCCAACGAGAGCCGTATTGATTGATTTTTCCAATTATGCACCACTTCTCCCAAGGTTTTTTAGCCACTCCATGCCCAAAACTAGGTCTAAATGACCCATTTGGATGTCATTTGAACCAGATTTAGTTCAGTTTGTGAAAAACTGAGATATGATTACKAAAAGAATCATTCAAAATCAGAAAAGAAAGAAGAATTCTATTCTATCCAATATTAGGCCTTGAAACAGAATCTTGTTGAACAAAAAAGCTGTATTCGGATACTCAAAGAGCAAGGCATCCACCACAAAATCACAGCCACTAATCAACATTGGTAATTTTAAGCACCGTCAATTCACAAAAATCGTATGCCCATCTCCCAATTTAATATTGATACCGGGGAAAAATTGATAAAGTCCCAATGCCGTGATCAGTTTACGGGATACAAAATTACGAGTTGCCCTACTATCCACCAAAATTACAATCGGTATTCCCGAAATGGCCCCTTCGATCTTCAAGGTTTTGCCCCCGGATTCAGCCGTAGCTAAGGATCCCTGAAACTCCAGTACGGTACACAACCCGATCGGCGGTGATTCTTCGTCGCCACCCAAACTATCTTCAGACGCATCATGGCCTTGTTTCACCACCATCATCAACCAACAATAGAACCCTTAATTTACCCTTCGTACATTTGTGAGCTGGACAGAAAGCTTGATCACAATGAAAGCATAGACCCTTCTTTCGACAATCCTCCCATTCAGTACGAGTAAGAGAACGAAAACCTCTATTCCAATTTCCTACAATCGACGAATCGGAGAATGGGGTTGGATTAGGTCGTGTAGAGGAAACAGATCGATTGGGCTCCGATCAATTGGGCTCAAATCGTGATGTTGGGCCTTCGTCATTAAGCCCAGTACTAACAGGTCCTTTAAAATCAGGCCGGCCCAAGGAATGCTTCATATCTGGTCGTAAAGTCGATCCAGAACCACTCGCATTGCTCTAATAGCGAAATCGAGACTGTGAAACACTAATCACAGACGGACGCAACATTTCCTCAACGTCTTTGGCCAAATACATGGCGTCTAGACAAGATTGAGGACGATGAAGTCGCACCCAACATTTTACCTTATCTCGTAAACCCGCGATGAAGTATCCAAGGCTTGGGACTCCGATAAACGAGGAACTAACGATAATAGATATTCAAAATCTTCGATATATTTATGAATGGAATTTATCTGTTGAAGCGTTGCCAATTGCTCATAAGGATTTTGTATCTCCAAACCATTGAAGCGCTGTAGGAGCTCTTTGGTAAATTGATCCTACGATAATGGTACATAAATCTCCTTCACGATGGTAAACCAGTGTTGAGCTATGCTGTTATAGCGGTGAAAATACAAAATTGCAGTCGGGACCGATATTTGAAATAGCGGTTATAGCGGTGCAATTCCGGTGGTATAGCAGTCCAAAAATAGCGGTTCATATAATATTTCTTAGAATTATATATAATTATATATATAATATTCCAACATAAACATATCATTTGCAAAATAGGAATAGTGTTCATAAACGAGTTAATCACAAGCATTAGGTTCAGCATCTAAGTCAACATCATCTAATATGTTCACTTCTACATTTAGGCTAGCTTCCCACTCTTCCCCATCTCCCTCTTCATCTCCAACATGATCATCATCATCATTATCATTCCTTTAGCGCTCCCTTTTACTTCTTGTGCTTGGGCTAACTTGTTGATTACCTCCTTGAAGTAGAAGTCGTGGTCGTCTAACAGTCTTAAGTGAGAAACCTAGTTCTTCAAAGCCCAAAAAAGTCTTGACTAACTGAACAGAAGCTAGTTAATATCGAAAGCCCAAGACTGAAAATAAAGCCCAAACTCACCCAAAATTGTGTTAATATCGAACGAAATTTACACCAAGTATCGGTCAAAATTGCGGTAAATTGTGCCGCTAATTGCGCTACCGCAATTTGACCACCAATATTTTGCAAAGCCCACTATCCGAGATATCGCCGCAATAGCGGCGCAATTAACAGCATAGGTGTTGAGCGACCCCTACCATGCTCAATTGCGCCAAACGGATGCGTAGTTGTGGAGAAATCCCATGGATGTCAAAATAGAGTTCCGCCTTTTTGATCCATCCTTGAGGATCCAAACCAAAAAACTCAGGCAATTTCACCTTCTTTGCTGCCCAAGGAAGGTGATCGTTTGATAATTGCTCCCCTCCCTTGTCAAAGGAAAAGTTGGATTTCTTCTGAGAGAAAAAAATCCGATTGATCCTCCTCAAAAATACCAGATCGTTCACCGGTATCAGTACCTGATGGCTTACCTTATTGTTTCACCCAATTCATCACGAATTTGCGAAACTCGGCCTGTTCCACTTGATCTGATTCCACAGAATGTATTGTTGATTTGATCTCAGTTACATCTGATTGAAGCTTCTGAATCTGTTCCTCATGATGATCCGATCGAGCTTGTTGAGAACGAGTTTCCATGGAGAATTCCGGCAGGTCGGACCAATGATAAGAACTCAAACAATTTGGAAGAATGAAAGGATTAAAAGGCTGGGGAAATCAACAATTGATTATAAATGGAATTAGAAACTTACAATTGAAAGAACAAACACGATTCCAGGGAAAACTTCCCTCTCTCAAAGCCACAGCTAAGTGCCTAACTCAATTAACAAGAAAGAATCACAATCCCTCATGCTACCAACATTCCCGCCATTTATTAGACACACTTTCAATCTGTAATAGCTAATTGGGCCCAACCCTATCTTCCACTCTTTTGGGCCGTCTGGAATAAACATTTTAACACTTTGGGCTTGGGTAAAGATTGGATCAGATTAGAAGGATTCGTATCATAATGCTTCCAGAAGTCGATGGTCGATGTTCATGCAGAGTTGCCGACTTCATTTCTGGTATGGTTGGATGACCTCCCAAGGGCATAATTATTATTCCAACCAACCAAAGCACCACTAAGCATAATGGATGATGGAGGACTCTGTGCAGGGAACATGACCAAAGATTCAGAGCCGGTGAAAATCTGTGACTTGGCAGGTTTGAAATCAGGAGAGCCCGGCTAGAAAACTCATAATAGCCATCATCTTCTGTGGGCTCTGTCGACATTTTATCAACATATTAAGCTCCTTGTATGTTTTCTTGAACCCCATAAAATAGTTAATTAGAGTCTGGTCTTGTTTTCGGTACGATAAAAGGCTGTACAAACCTCATGCATGTTGGAGAGATTCTGTTTGCAGAGTACAAAAAGGCCAAATAGTCCATTAGGTCCTTAACAAGTTCATTGTTTTGAATTACTTATCCCCAATAAAGACATACATGGTTCGTGTCTACTGTCTAGGCATGCTTACTGTGTCTTCACCAGAACTCCTAAAGATCTTGCGCAAACTCTAATCCAGCTTAATCTAAGATGAACTTTATAAGACATCTAGAAAAAAAATAGACCTGTGCATAGAGTTGTATATCTTCGTGATCCTAGTTACATCATAAACCTATAAACTTAATACTGAAACCCTTAGTTACGAACATTGCAACAAGGAGAAGTACCAATTTGTTCCTATGTAGGAATATAAGTGAATGTATCTATCAAGTATTCAAGTTCATTTAAGCTGCAATATGACAAACTGATTCAATTTATCTCTCTGAGATGAAAATTTGGAAGTGATGCAATGTTCCAAGTTCATACTTTTTGGTTCACCACCTCATAATTTCCTATTTGGTTTCATTGTAATTAGCTTGAAAATAAAAAAAATGTTGAATTATTAAAGGATTTATAATGTGATATCTTTTGTTATTTTTAAGAATGACATACAACAATAATGCTTAATGCCTTCCAATTTGACTCTTGTAGGACATTGAATTATCCAAAGAGATCAATGAATCTTTCAAACAATCATCTCAAGCTAGGAGCAAGCTCCCATCAGGAATAGAGATGAGTGTCCACGTTTTAACAACCGGGTTTGTGACATAATCCTTGGACTGTGTGAAGATGACATAACATCTGCTTTCTCTTTCCAATTTAATCACCGTGGCTTATTGAATGCAGTTACTGGCCTACATATCCACCAATGGATGTTCGTCTTCCTCATGAATTAAATGTCTATCAGGTATGGTATATAGGACATACAATTCTACAATTCTGTTTTTCATTTACAGGAATATGAAACTTATTTGATTCTGCAGGACATTTTTAAAGAGTTCTACTTGAGTAAATACAGCGGTAGGCGATTGATGTGGCAAAATTCATTAGGTCACTGTGTGTTGAAAGCAGAATTTCCTAAAGGTAGAAAAGAGCTTGCTGTTTCTTTGTTTCAGGTTGGTCTCCTTTTCTAACTCCTGCTTTGTCAATGCGTCTATAGAGGCGGGTTCAGAAAATTTTTGCAGCAGTGGCCAAAATGATTACCGTAATGTGAAATAAAATAAAAATTAATAATAGTTGCAAAATACAGTACAAAACACTAAGAAATCTGATCCAATTTCAACGATTTACAGTTAGGGTTTTTGTGTTTTTACCATTGTTAACCATCAAAAGTCAAATTTAAGCTTTGATATGCTATCGTAGCTGCCCAGTTTTCTGGCGATGATGCTCTGTGGTGGCACATATCGAATGGCAACTGTGGGACCTTTAGGAGTCATAATTTTTTCCCACGAAGTCTGGAATTGTGTGGTGGTATGGGACCCCCAGACCCTACATAGATCCGCCCCTATGTGTGTATTTATGGTCTGAGGTTTTCTTCACAATCAAGTTGAATAAAATTGTATTCCAGACAGTCGTTCTGATGCTGTTCAACGATGCAAAGAAACTTAGTTTTCAAGATATTAGAGATGCTACCAGCATCGAGGACAAAGAACTGCGAAGAACATTGCAGTCCCTTGCTTGTGGGAAAGTCCGTGTCCTCCAAAAGGTGGCTGCTAACTAAAGTTGCTTCTCTTTCCTACTGTTTCTGTTGCTATCCTTAAAAGAACAACTTTATTTTTTTACTAGATTCCAAAAGGTAGGGAAGTCGATGATAACGACTCTTTCACATTCAACGATGCCTTTACAGCTCCTCTATATCGTATAAAGGTGAGAGCAAATAAAACCACATAAATGGAAGTTCAAATCCAGAGTCTTGTGTTTCTTATAGAATCTAATCATTGTGGGTACAGGTTAATGCAATTCAGTTGAAAGAAACTGTTGAAGAAAATGCGAGCACCACAGAGAGAGTGTTCCAAGATCGTCAATATCAGGTCCGATTCCCATTGAAATTGTTTTAGCTCTAAAATTTGCTGATTTTGAGCATGGAATCACATAATTATCACAACTGTTTCAAACATATATATATATATATATATATTGTAGGTTGATGCCGCTATTGTTAGGATTATGAAGACCAGGAAAGTGCTGAGTCACACACTTCTCATAACTGAACTCTTTGAGCAGGTAACAGGAATTAAAATGTGATCATGCTTGTTAAACATCTTGGTTTTTTCATTGCAAACACAACCAGTGATTTCGCAAAAATTGCAAAAATGCAAAAAGGAAAATTAGAAAACACTTTAATAAGAAGGGTATATCTCATTAAAATGGTATGTACTTTGATCCGGTTCCTATTTTGGGAACTACTCTCAGAAGCTCCAATTTGGCGTCTATGACAGAACAGCGCAGACAAGAAAGCTTTAAGAATTTTTTAAGAATGATTAGTTGTTTATAGTATGTTTCTTTAATTGCATCAAATGCATAATTGTGTTCGCCTGATTTCATACATACTTGCATAATACATTTCCCAAAGCGTAAGTAGGTTTTCCAAAATTGGAACCGAAACATTTTTTGTTCCATTTTGGTGCAATTTTAGCTATTTTGTATGATTCATGGAAACGTATGTGCTAAACAAAAGAAAACTATTATATTTGGCCTTGGCGCTCTCTGTGTGGTGTCCCTTACTCTTGCAAAGTTTGCATTCTTCCAAAAATGGTCGGTTTGAAAAAGTGAATATTGTTTTTAAATGGTCAATGTATCGATACAGTGATGTCTTTATAGACTCGTAACCCCTTGTAGGAGATTCATTGATGCTGTTGGGCCAAAGGCGACTTGGTAAAATACTTGTGGCATTTTTTTCTTGTCTTCTTTGCATATGTAGAACATATACATTCAATTCAATTCAATTTTCTAGGAAGGAAGAAGTTACTTGTTTTGCAACTAGGTTGTTTTCAAATCATTCTATTCAAGGATGTTTAAAGATCCTTGAATTTGGCCTATTCTTAGCCTCATATTACAATCTTTTCGAAAAGAACATATTCCCATGTTCTCCTAGAAATAGCTGCTTAGGACAACTGGACAAATCTACGTATCTCATCCCCTGATCCCACTTTTGAGTGGACGGTTTGTCTTTTGAATTTGTCCTAATCCCAAGGGGTTATTCAGTTAAATCACCTCCAGACAAGTGCTTTTTAAATACATAACCTTGAAACAAGTTTTTAGGCATTATTGTTTATAGAAGTGGTGTTCTCAAAAACGTGTTAGAAGGTCATGGATTTAACCAAGGACCCGTGATCAAGGTTACTTATGATGAAGGCGTTTATACTTTATATTTTCTTATTTTGGGAGAACAGCTGAAGTTTCCTATAAAACCATCGGATTTGAAGAAGAGGATCGAAAGCCTGATTGACAGGGAGTACCTGGAGAGAGACAAGAACAATCCTCAAATATACAATTACTTGGCATAGACAATAACCCTTTTCTCCGATATATATGAATTTCAAGTTGAAGTTGGAGTTGGAGTTGGAAATTTGATTCCACGAGTTAGTGTTCATGTACAGAAATGGATTCCTTTTTCTCTCTTTATTTTATTTTTATAAAAAATATACACCTCAATTGCAAGATGTAATTTGTTTCTAAGCTTCTGCTTTATGTCTTAATAACTGTCGGCCTTGCTAGAGATGTAAAAAGAAAACTTGGGCCTAATAAGCCAGAGGCTAGGCCAGCCTGTAGGCCCTGGTCATGCTAACTTATTTTTTCAGGGTCCGGTCTTAAAAAGTCTGATTAGACACTTCTCATTCCCAAAAGCCTAACATCACTTAACCCTGAAAAAACCCGAACTTTATTTTGCTTACTGAAAACAGGATTTGTAGGTTAGCGTCTAAGCTAAGGCTTTGCTTTTGCTTTTTTCGATCATCTTTTTATTTATTAAATAAAGACTTCATAATTCTAATGGGAGGTTTGGTTTGGTTTGATGAAATAGTTTTGAAGGACTTGGATTTCATAAGAAGATTTGGAAAGGAAGGATTTGGTTTTGGAAGAATTTTGAAAGATTTGATGTGCTTTGTTTGAAAGATTTGATGTGCTTTGTTTGATAGATTTGGAATGAAATGTGATTTCATATTTTATAAATAATTTATAAAAACAAATTATCAATAATTATAAAAATAATTAAATTATTTTTTTATTAATTAATTATTAGAAGACAAGTGATTTAAAACATTATTATATAGAAATCTTTTGTAATTTCAACTACCTCTGTGAGATTTTAAAATCCTATGTTTAAAAGATTTCAAATAATTTTTAGGATTTTAAATTCGAACAATCCTTTAATCTAATCATAGGATTGAAATGAATTTGAAATACAAATCTCTTCAAATCCATTCAATTCCTGCAAACCAAATGAATCATAATTGTTTTCTAATCAATGAATTACGAGTTTGTTTTTTGGATTAACGAGTTTAATTGTATAAGTGGTTTATTCACTCAAACAAACATACACATTTCTTTATCGCTTTTGCTTGTTTATTTTTTCTCTTTGTCATTGGCTCTGCCATTAACAAATACTTTGTTTTTGCCTTAATTGCTATATGGTTGAAAATTGTTGAATTAGATAATTAATGTTATATGAATGATTGAAAAAAACAACAATAGAATGGAGAGAATGAATATGTAGTTGTCATTAATCAAAAGTGCTTTAAATAGGGATGTGATACAAGTATATAGCTACGATAGATATTAATTATAATCTATCTCTAATATATTTATCTCTATCTAGATCGTCATATCCTTTAGATGATGACACACTTATCCTACAACACTTCCCTTGTGCCGAGTCAAAGGAATGATGGTGCACAAATGTTCCCTCGTTAAAATCTTACGCCAAAATAAAAGCTCAGTAGGAAAAAATAAAATCAGGACGAAGGAAATAGTACAATGCACCGGTTTTTTTTTTGTAATACGTAGACTTTTCCTTCTAGTCTAATGTTCTTTCAGATTCGTACATTAACAATGAGCGTCAGGAAAACAATATGGTGTATAAATTGCTGCTTCACTAAAACCTTACACCAAGGAACAAAAACCAATGGAAAAAAATAAAATAAAACATTGGGTGAAGAAAATAACACAACATACCAATATTATATATATAGAAGACTCCCCATTTTGTCTACTACTCCCCTTGATACGTACATTAATCAAGGGAGTTTGGAAAGTCTCTTGCATTCCAATGTTTTCCATATGTTTCTCAAATGTGGCCTTAGGCAGTGATTTGGTAAACAAATCAGCCACATTCTCCTTAGTCCTTACTTGATTCACAAGAATCTTAAGGAGAGTCTATTGTTGTTAATTATAGAAAAACTTTAGCGAAATATGTTTTGTATTATCACCCTTGATACTTTCATTTGTTAGATACAAGTTGCATTATCTTTATATATGCATGTAGGATATTGAGTGGTTGAACTTAAACCACTAGCTCCTCTTATATGTGTAATTACAGACCTTAGCCATACACACTCTCGAACCGCCTCACGTAGATCAATAATCTCTGAATGGTTCGAGGAGGTAGCTACAAAGGTTTACTTGGTAGATTTCCAAGAAATCGCCATGTTCCCAATTGTAAAAACATATCCTGTTTGGGAACGACCTTTGTGTGGGTCAGAAAGATACCCGACATTAACAAATCCTACTAATATATCATTTGGGTTTCACTGTATGGGATAACACTTTCTTTGTTAAATTTTTTTATAGGTATTGTAACCCCATTTTTTTTCTTTGTAGGTAAAGGATAAGCCCATGTCGATGGTTCCTTTTAGGCATCAAAATATATTCTTGATACATTCCAATGACGTTGCATTAATGCCGAACTAAATCTAACTAACAAGTTCACTGAGAATGCAATATCTAGTCGAGTACAATGTGCTAAGTACAATAATGCGTCTATTGCACTTAGATAGAGAATTTTAGCTCCCAACACCTATTTGTCATCATTCTTTAGACGAAATGAATCCTTACTTATATCTAACACCTCGACCAATCATGGGACTCACTATGTCCATATTAAACCGCCTGATCATTTTCTAGACGTATGTGGATTAGTGGAATAATATTTCACAAATTCGTTGTCCTAGCTCAAATAGATAGACAAAACCAAGTTTTCCCAAGATCTTTCATCTCAAATAGGACTTAGTCTTAGAAGCAGTCTGGACCAAGAGCTCGGATGCAGAGGTCACCAAGAGACAAAGTCTATTTCATACAGAGCAAGAACCTCTCATGCAGTGCCCGTGCTAAAACAGAGGAAGATCAAGTCTTAAGCGATAAAAAGCTTAAGGACTTGATACAGAGCTATCTCTCTAGACGCAGAGCCTCTGCACTATACATGTAGAAGCTCTAAGTCTCCAACGCCCTTAGTTTACGCACAAGTGGTTCCAACATTATCTCCAAGTCTCCATTCAGAATCTGCCACGTACACATAAGCAGTTCCATATTCCAAGGAACATGAAGTCTGAAGACTCTAAACAAGAAGTCAGAGTTTGAAGCCTAGATTATAGGAGTTTCTGTTTGTACCTGGACGTATAAAAGGAGGTGTCCTCCTTGAGTTCAAAAACTCCGGAATTGCTAAATTCTTGTACGCTCCTATTGTAGAGAATTCTTGTGAGAATCAGTAGATAGTTGAGAGTTTACTTGTAATCTCTTATTCTATTCAAGCAACCAATTTGTTCAAACTTGTGTTTAATTCATATCTCTTTGATCAAACCTCTTAAACATTTCTGTAACACAGTAATCGCTTCCACTCAAACTCTGCTCTAAACTCTATTATTTGATAAATAAGAGGATTATGGGTTCCAACAATTGGTATTAGAGCCTGCAAATCATTCAATTGATTAGTCGATCTATATCCAATAGGATAATCCTCTTTTGTTTGTTGATTGTTTTTAAAACGATTTTCATTCCAGATCTTAGATTCATTTAAAAAACACAATTGCTTTTTGTGTTCTCCAAAACTGCTAGTCTTTAAGTTCAGATATTCCTTCAATCTTAATACTTCCTATCTGATTTCTCTCTAAAACAACTTTAAAATGTCAAATCAATCTTGGAACTCGATGTACAGTGCCGGTTCCCTCACAAAACCTCCTACTCCCATTCGAGATGAATATCCCCAATGAAAAATTAAGATGATAAACTTCTACGAAGGTCTCGACCTTGAACTCTACAAATACATTAAAAATGGGCCCTATGTGCCTATGACTTTAATTCCTCGGATTTCTCCCTCTGGCGATACTGTTGAGGTGCCTGCAAGGTGTGTTCCCAAAGAACGACGAAATTGGGATGATGAGGATGAAATAAGGGTGGAATTCGATCAAAAGGCCAAAAGGCTTTTGATTATGGCCTTCCCGCATGAAATATTCCAATCCTTGGATGCCTGTGAATCCGCCAAGGATTTATGGGATCAGTTGGAAAAATCAACTTGAAGGTGGGATCAAGATGAAGAAGAACAGGTGTGCTCAATGTCTAAATGAGTACAATAGCTTCCAGGCTCTCCCTGATGAGTCTCTCGAGCAAACTTATCATCGATTCAATACACTAATCAACAAGTGAAAAATGGCTGTTGATCAAGGTACAAAAGAGTCTGGATCTGGCTCCGACTCTCATATATGCTCTACTTCTAGCCATTCCCATTTTGAACTAGAGTAAATCATCTTTATTTTAACTCAAGATTTTGTTAAACTACAACAGAAGCTCTCTGATGAAAAAGCAAAAAGAAAAGCTTTAGAAAAAGAAAAGATTTAGAAAAAGAAAAGAATTTTTTTGAGAGAGAAACAGAGCTTTTAACTGTAGAAAAAAAGGAGCTCTCAGTGGAAAAAGAGAAAATTTTGAAAACCAAACTCTTCACAGAGAATGTTTTAAAAACAGAGTGCTCTGAGCTTAAGAAGGCTATACAAAAGAAAGATAAGGAAATAATAGAGAAATAGTGTGACAGACTAAATTCCTTAGCCCTTAAAAATTACTTTCAAAAAAGGGAATTCTTACACTAGAGCTTACAAAAAAAAAGCTTTTGATTAAGAAATATCAAGATGCTTAGCAGGTGTACGAAAAGATAAATTCTCAATAGGACAAAACGGAACTAGATTATATAGACCTAAACCTAACCTGGAAGAAGAAACCTACTCTTGAGTCAGTTTTAAAAGGGTAAAACTTGAAAATGGGGTTAGAGCAAGAAAGCTCAATTTTGAAAATATCTCTTACTCTTCCAAAAGTATGCATGAATTCAAACCAGTTGATCTGAAGAGCATACAGAAGAAGGAAGAGATTTTTAGCTTCAACACCTATAATCATGAGCTTTCACAGCAAAGAGGTGATGAAATTAAATCCAAACAAAAAGAGATTAAGATTACATCTAATGATGATCTTTTTAAAACTCTGGATCCAAAGTTAATGGAAGAATACACAGAGATGGTAAGACAAGTTTTTGAGCAAGATCTGCTTGAAACCTTGAATCATCCCTCTGTGTCCCACCAAACTAATCCAATAGGCAATTCCAAAGAAACTTTTGCAAGTTCCTCGTCTATGCAAAAGAAGGATGAAGGAAATACATGTCTACAGAGATATCATGATCACAATGAAACCTCCACCACTCAGAGTCCAAAAAGAGATTTT